TTCTCCAGGGACAGATGGCTGAATTATACGGAGATAATAGGCAACCCCAACATCACCCCATCTTTCAGATCTCTAATGGCAGTGCTACCCCTACAGTAACCTTCACAAGACCCACCTGGGGCACAATATTGCTTCTGGCTAGGATGGGACGAGGGAAGTTGTAGAGGACTCCCTTTGAGCTTCAGCACAATGAGAGCCCTTACTTTCCAGACTAGGGACGCAGTGTGGGGGTGACCAAAGCTGCCAGTGCATGAAGGCCAATTATGCATGTGGGGAATGGGGAGATAACCAGGACTGGGTTTATGGACCCAGTGGTCCCACTGTGGGCCACAGTGTGTCCAGGTTTATTTCCTGGCCTCCTTAAGCCCCACTGTGGATTCTGAATCTAAAGCTTGACTGAAGTCTAGGAATTGAGACTGGGATCATGACTTTGTATTTGGTCAAACACCCTCGGCCTCCTGCTCCTCAATTCTTGCATTCTCATCATAGATATGAAGCAGTGCCCTCACTGGCCACCCATCTGTTCTGACCCTGGGACACCACCTTTTATTAACCTTCCCCACAACTCCTTGAGGGCCGAGCCCCCTCAGCTGCTACTCTGGGTTCTCACAGTCACCGTGCCCTCTATCTTTTGCAGGTCACTGCAAAGGAGTGTTCCTAAAGCATTCACTCCTGATCCTAAGGGAGGCGGGTGCACCCACTCCAGGTCTCAGGTCCGCTACAGAGAATCAAAAACTCCTCACATTCAAAACTGTCCTGGGCCACATGCAGCCCACGAGCCGTGGGTTGGACAAGCTTGCATCTAGAATGTATGTACCACAACGCCAGTAATTTTTCTATTTTTACTTTAGTGATGCTTTCTAAATGCAAAAGCAGTCATATCCCTGGCAGACAACAAATCTCAGTTGAATGAATGATCACTGTAGAGCATCTCTCTCTATTCTAAAGGCAGTATCTTTATTAATGTAGCGTCAGGGCAAATGCTGTTTTGTGGCAGCTAAAGAACAACATCATTTCACGTGGACATCGATGCCGCCAGTGCTTTTCTCACCAGGGCTGCTTGTGCATCCTCCCTTCCTTCCCCCTCCTCCCACACCAACCCTCCTGCACACTGCAGCACACAACCATATTTTTATCTTCAGGAACAATAACCCTAGCCTTATGGGTACAATTTTCCAACCACATATGAATCTAAATTAGACTCTGCTTTATACATCCATGAGTTTGGATTGGAGCCAGCGCTAGGATTACTACAACTCAGGGCAGGAAGATGAGTAGGACGGCAGAAGAGGAGCTCCAACAGAAGGTTACCTGTGATGAGAAACTAGGGGACCCATCCTCTGCAAATTTCAGAATCCGGTTCCTTTAAAACGATTGGCGACAAGATGGAATATACAATCCAGGAAAGAGCCCTGGGAGGAGGGCAAGATCTGGACAGGTCTGAAAATTTATCTCTTGATACCACAAGGAGATTTGTATGCAGGGACCGCCCTAGGTGACATCCAACTCCCTGTGATCACAGGTCTTGGTGGGACAAGGTTCTACTGAAAGGCCAAGGACAATAAAGGAGCAAAGATGACTCAGCCAAGCAGTGACCACATAAAGCCCGTGGTGGCCGGAACACAAACTGGGCACAGCCCCATCTACTCGCCTCCCCTGCCACAAATCAGCACAAGGAACACGTGGACTCTGGAAGGTTCTCAGGTCTTCCATTTATTTTGTCTCTCAAATTTCAGGAATCTTCTCCTTTAATTAACTCATTAACCTCTCATGGCAAGAATTTGAAAAAGTAAATTTATACTCAGGTTCTAATTGTAATAGGGAAGGAAGAAGTTACAGCTCAGTGCACCATGAAGTTGAGACAGTGATAGAGACACCCCAGCCCAACCTCCCTGGAACAGGAAAGATAAATGGGGAAGGAACACAGGTCAGCGTGGGGAAGAGGGTCATGGTGGACACGGGGATGGGGTGTTCTCCCCACCTCCTCACATTATGCCTACAGGAACACAGACACATTCAGGTGCCTCTGCAGAAAGAAAGTCAGGGTTCTTCAAGTCACAAAGAGAAGGTGTGAACAAATCTTGCCTCTCAATCCCACACAAGGCAGCTGTCTCACACTATAGAAAAAATATTCATGAAAAAATTCACATCCGTCACAGTGAGGAGTGACACTTTAAACAGCCCATCACATGCTCAATACATCCAAGTCAAAGAAACCCCACAGCACAGCTGTGTCCACTGTTCCCCCCAACACCCCACACACATCAGGCCCCCCAGGGTCTCACCTTTAAAGCCGTGAGAGACACATCAGAACCTTGGGCACTGTCACTGCCTGGAGTAGAACAAAAACAGGACCTGGTCAGATCAGTCTGGAGATGTGGCTAGAGGAGGAACTGTGGGGTTAGTGAGCTCCCCCATGGGCTCCCAACCACAATATCCCAAGGATCTCAGGGATCAGCCTCCTTCATACTTACTTGCAGCCTGAGAGTAGCTCCCGCCTTATCTATCTATGGGAAGAAAATGTCCTGTGAGATATCAGAAAGGAGTCAGTGCCATAAGGTCCTAGAGGAATCTCCTAGTCTTGGACCCCAGAGAAGTTTCCAGAAATGTGTGATTGCAGACCCAGGGCAGGATCAGGAAACATGAAGAAAGCAGGTGTGGGTCCTGGACCAACTGCCCTCCTGAGGTCTGTCCTCAGCAGGGACCTTCCCTTGTGACTTGTGACTGCTGGGATCAGGTCCCATCACCATAATCAAGGTGATAAATCTGTCCTTCATTTTAACAGGTGCTATACAAAAGAGTAGGTGCTGGCACACAGGGCCCAGGCTGGGTCAGCCCATGAGTGTGGATGGTGCTTCCCAGTAACCAGACAGGGCACACTTCTACCTGGGGCTTGAAACCCTCAGTGAGACAAGAAATCCCAGACCCCACTCCTCACCCCTTCCTCACCTGAGCTCTTCCTCCTCCACATCACAGCAGCAACCACAGCTCCAGTGACCACAGTTCCAAGCAGAACCAGGCCACCAATGATGCCCACGATGGGGATGGTGGACTGGGAAAACGGCTCTGCGAAAAGAGGGTAAGGTGAGTGGTCCTGACCCTGCTCAAGGTCTCTAGAGAGGCTCCGGCTTTCCCTAAAAGACATGACAGCCCCATCTCCCTCTTCACCGAATCTCAAGGTGAGGGGCTTGGGCAGACCCTCATGCTGCACATGACAGGTGTATCTCTGCTCCTCTCCAGAAGGCACCACCACAGCCGCCCACTTCTGGAAGGTTCCATCCCCTG